GCACATGCAGCAGTGCTGTGTTACAAGAGGTCTGTGTTGTAACAATCCCCTGATACTTTAACTGACAAGGATCAGGCTAGCTGTTGCTTCAGATACCCTGCAGAACTGATTTAGGAAAGACTTCTACTCTTAGCACACCCAAATAATCTGCAAACCCACATAAAGATCACCCCTCTGTTATTTTTAAGACCATCCTTAATCATTCAGTATTGGATTCTGTCATATTTATCTAAACCTGCATTCTGTCCTGCCTTCTGTGTTCTCAAAGAAGCACAAGACAATTCATTAAACAGCCTGTCCTTCATCTAATTGTAAATGCAAATGTAAATCAATGACCATCCCATTTTTTGAAGGAGAGAGAGCGCATAATAGGTGTTCAAATTAAGTAGCTGGAACTAATTCCTTCTTTTCCTGCTACAAGCGTGCTTTACAGATCTTTGTACTATGCATGACGAATGATATCAAATTGTTATTCCATTTAATTAATTCTAGGAAATTTTAGTTTATTGCAGACACTGTCGCATGGATTGTCTGACTACAGTATCTGTGTGTGTATATGTCAGTGCACACCTAATTTGTAGGAACATAATGTACATGTAGAAAAAGATTAACTTGTCATTAGCTACTGCAAAGGGAAAAACCTTTAAAAACATTTAATGATGAATACTGGTGTGGCTCGTCATGTGGACCAGATGTTTTTTATTTTTAGCTGCAATCTACTCAGGTTAGCTGCTGCTTTTTATTTCTATATTGGTTTAATAATGTTATACTGTAAGGAATTATCATATTTTATGTTAAGAATACATTATTGTCAGTGGTAATAGCGAGGTGCTATTTATGGCATGTTTATAGTTTTCACCATCTCTATAGATTAGACAAAACTGACATTCTGCCATTATTTGTACTCTAATTTGTATATATTTGTATTAACTTCAGTATTTTTTGACTGTCCAGCCTGATAACTAAACAAAGAACTACAAAAAACTGTTGGCAGGTTTGTGAATTGATTGTAAAGAAGTGCAGGACAAAAGACTACAGCAGTGATTATTTATCACCGAAGATGTCACCACAATCAACAAAACAAGAATCTCGCATAAAATGTCACTTTGATTCATTGTCAGTGAGATTTAAATTGCATCTGTCAAGGCTCTAAGCCAATTGGACTACATATCTAATAATTCATCTCATACACTCTCTCACACCCACATACACCTTTGAAGTTCTGCCATAGATTTTGCTGTGAAACTGATGGTTTTCTGCCTACGGTGGGTATTGAGTGTGCATGTTGGAGGAAATCTCTGTGATGCTTTGTTCACATAAAGCAACTCGCCTTTGCCTAATACACACACATATGCACATACGCACACTCTCTCTGTCTCTGACACACATATACAGGAACCATGAGGCTGAGATGATTTATAGCCAGCCATGTCTAATGGATTGCTTTTGGCACTTGAGAAATTATGAAAAGAAATTAATTAGCCTTTATGACCCTGCTGTCCATCTCTCTCTCTCTCTCATACACACACACACACAAAGCTAAAAACACACACACAGTGACCCAGGAACTTGGCTGCTCACTTTGAATGTAATTACGGTCTAAATGGGTTGTGCCTACCCGTCACAGATTTATTGTCACTAAATCATATTTGTGCCATATTGTTACTGTACTACAGTGACATTTTAACAACGTGATCATAATTACAAAATGAATAACCAAATATGTATTATTCAACATTCAGTGGCTAAATAACAACTCACTGATGTAGAACCTGTACAATTTACATGTGAAAATTTTGATGTATATCATTTAGCATTAGTTGAAGAGAGGAGGAACTGGAACAGAGGAAAAATGTAAGCATTTATCTATCACTGTTATACATCAAAGTAAGAAAGTGCTTTGCATTAAAGAGAGATAAATGACCAACAGTGAAAAAAGAGTAAAGTTGGTTAAAAATAACGACAATAAGACAAGCCAACAGAAATAATTTAAAAAGCTAAAGATTACAAACAGTCTTACTTTGTCTGTCACAGAGCCCTACAGATAGTAAAATGACGAAGGTAAACCAGTGAACACAAATGTGAAGGAAACAAACAGTGAGAGAACAGCAGCTTAGTTCCCCCTCAGTGAGGATTTCGGTGAATAGCTGTTATTTTCTATCTCTCTTCTGGCTGAATTCACTTGGAGAACAGAAAGCTTAGCTCAGCTGAGGAGTTATTGTTTCTCTTGTTCTTTGTCCTTCTACCTCTAAGTGTGTCCTTCACTGGTACAGGATGTAAAAGGAGGATTCGCTAAAAATGCCCTCCTTGCTTTTGAGTCCACAATGTTTCAACTGGTTCAGCAGAACGAGCTAAAACAACTTGTAGACCTCCATTTCAAATAGAATAACATAAGGCAGTCTTGAAACTGGATGGAAACGATGCTTTCCATTTCTGGTCAGCTCAGACGAGCACTTGTTATGAATTATTTTGTGCTTTCCTGTCTCCTGAGCTCTGAAAACCAGCTGGTTTAAGACGGAGAAGAGTAATGCTGGAGGAGACGTGATTATGGTCCACTCCAAAATAAGTCTACCCTTCAGATTCAGAGACCCACATGCAGAGGTTCAGAAGTTTTCACTTCTCACAGCCCTGTGATATTTGTTTGTGTATATTTGTGTGTAATTCTTAGAACAGTTTTGTCCCCCGCTGTTTATCCCAATGTACAGAAAAAACATCTCTTCTTTGAGATGAGGAGACTCACCGCTTCCCTGAGTGTCAGATAAGCAGATGGCAAGGACTGTGGGTGTGTTAGTTTCCCAAAATATGTTGTAGTAGTAGTGTCCGGAAAAGTCAAATTCTTTTTGCCAGTATTTTGTCTGAACACGGGCTGTTACTTGGATATAAATATATGGTAGAGTAATCTTGTCAGTAACTGTCTTGAATTGACCTGATACAATTGAGACTGATTGAGATAGAATTGGAGAAAGATGGGTCAGTTTAAAGAAAGAGAAACCATGAAAGATAAATGAAAGACTGACAAAGACGGATAGAGGGAGTGAGTCAGCGTGAAAGACAAAGAGAGACAGAGGGAGGGTGAGCAACATGGAGGGATTATTAGCGACTGTGTGGGGATTAGAGAGGAATGCTGAGGTCTGACACACCAGAATGTGATCTCGCTCTGGCTTAGTGTCACTCCTCTCTCCTCCGCTTCCTCTGGCCTTTTCTGCAGGTACCCAGCAGCTACCAGCCCATATAAGTTCATTCCCATCACATCACTCACCTGCCTCTGGTTCTCCCTCTCACTTACACACACACACACACGCGCCTCACCAAGCTCACACATGGAGGCGTTCAGTGAGTGGTACAGTTGGAACACGAGACAATTTCTATGGATTTTCCACCTTGGATGCTGCAGCAGAACAAATCCAATGTCTTTTTCTGGCTGGCTGGAGATCATGAACGCTGCATTCTTTCCAGATGAAGTGATTGTACCATGCGACTCTGTTGAGACTCACATTTACACATTGACTCACCAACCAAGCTTACGGTTTAAGTGAAATATGTGATAGCGCCAGTAAAAAAAAAAAAATGTTTTTTGACAGATATTTTACTAACTACCTCCTCGGTCTCCTCTCCTGCAGATCTGAGTTGGACCTGGACTATGACAGCTACCATGAGGACTACTATGACAGGTACTGTCAGAAAGCTACGCGTGGCAGCTCACACACCTTATTGCTTGTCTGTGTGTCACAAGAGGCTAAAGCGGATTCTTCATCCTTGCTGTCCCCGGTAGTCTCCGCTCCCTGTTGCTGTCTGCCACACAGCTGTCAGTCATCCTGTCTTTGCCTGTTATTACTCAACAGCCATCATGTTCACACACAGAGATACAAATGCACAGCCACTCAAAGATATATATTTTCCACATATAGAGTTGCACACTTGGTGTAAAGACACCCGGACCGTAGATTTGTGATGGTGTGGTCCTATCTGAGCATCTCACAAAAAAAAAGAAAAATAAAGCTAATGACCAATACACAGCAAAATGTTTCATATGAGACAGCATTGGTACATACAGATATTTTGTCAGTGTCTTTGTGCAATGTGTGTCTGTCAGTGTGTTGACAGTGAAGGAAAAGTTGTTGTGCAATTCTCTTAACAAAGAAAAGGAAAAAAAGCTTTTATTTCCTGGTGTCTACAATTTTATATTTAGGGCAAAAGAAACAACTAATATTGGTTTAAAATGAAAAGACAAGATCTTCAGTGACAGGAAGCTGAAAAAATTCAATTGAAATTGATTGAATATATTTGAACAAATACTCTACAAATACTAATATATTTATATTTTTGTTTGGTATTTACTGCCCAACATGATCTGTTGTGAAAATGTCACAGGTTACAGGTTGTTGCCACGTACAGTTAAGTTCTCAGTAAGTTTGCAGTTGCTACCAGCTGCCGGATTAGGTTGACAACAATCACACATTGGGGTTGTACAGCACAACGCCCCTTAAAAACACTGAAATTGAGCGTATCGTTTGAGACTTAGCTCAGCAGTTAGCTTGCAGTGTGTGTTTACCTCTTCCATGTTACTGCAGAATACACTCTTGTGCAGTGTACAGTTACAGTATGTGTACCTAGATGAGGTAGCTCCACTCAGAGTGGCTCTGTGTTATTGGTCCTCCACTGAAATTGCGCAGGGACCTCCCTACGTCCCCAGGCCTCACTCATAAACACTCCAGTCAGCAAATCTGAATAAAAGAAAGCGGTCACATAGTACACACACACACACACCACACACACACACACACACACACACACACACACACAATCATTTCATATCGATGCTCTGTAGGTCTGAGTATTAACTGTCATCTTTTCTTTGTGTTTTTTTTTTTTTTTCATATGGTTTGCCTTGCTCTGCATTTTTCTGTCTTTGCTCAGGGGGGAACACTCACCACTGATTTTCAATTTGTTTTTAACACAGTGCATGATTATTCCCCATGCTGTTGCTAGCACGACTGACAGCTGTGTGTGTGTGTGTGATGTGTGCATGTTTATATGCGTACGCACATGTGATTGCCTCTGGGTGTGAATGCATGGGGGAATGTGTGTGTGTGTTTCTGTTTGTTTGTGCACATCAATATGTGGGAAAGAGAGAAATGACTGTTTGTTTTTGTCCGCTGTCCTCTTGTGCGAACACGAAAAAAAAGTGTCTTTCAGCACACAGATAACAGCTCGAGCTGACAAAGCTGCTTTCCGTGTGGGGTCTAATCCATAGAGACAAACAGTCCCTCTCACACACACTCACACACTTTTCTGTAATCCTCACTCGTCTACAGTCATTCATTGTCTGAGCTTCCATTCTCAGAGATGACACTTCAAAGCCGGTGTAACAACACATTGTCTATATGCCCCTGCAAACTGCTCTAAAGGACTTTAAACTCCCGTAAGTCTTTGGTCTCTGTGCCTCTACACACGGACAACACTCAAAGCCTCTAATCTCACACCCTTATGGTGGCCTAATACACTTCATCCTTATGTGACATTGTGATGTGTATGTGTCTATGTGTGAGGACTGTGGATGTGCTAAGAACACAGTCTGTGCAGAAATCTCTGTATCAAGTTCAGAAGCTTCACAGGATATAACAGAACGGAAAACAATAGACAAAACTTTTCATGAAGCCGGGCTGCGTCCTCCTGACTGGCCAACAGCTCAATCACTAAATCTACATTACCGTCCGACTCCCAAGTCCTTGCAGCTGACAGCTTGCCTCCCGGTTGTTGGCTTGTGATATACAGCAGGGCTTGTTTCAAAGCTTTTGGCTTTGCAGAAACCATTTAGGCTGTGCTCGATCCAGGTATACCCAGATTGTGACTAGATTCAGTTGAGATGGATTGTTTTTTCGACACAGCATCAACATCATGTGTCTCAAATGATTCTGCACTGACCACTTGATCAGAATTACCAATAAATTGTTAACTACAGAGCTTAGAAAGCACTGAAATCAGCTCCCTCAAAAAAGGCCTTGACATGTATTAAAGTCTTAGATTTAATTTGCAATGGTCTTCAATATTTTCTCTTTCCTGCTGTGCTGTTATGTTACCCATAAACTACTAAGTGAAGCTGGTGCGATGGGAGGCCTTTTTTGTGGAGTTTCAGTCTGCATCATCAGCACCTAAACAAACACTGTCACTATGCAATAGCTAAAGCAGAAAAAGAGCTCATCCTCTCAAAATAAAAAAAAAATTATTTTACTTATTTATTATTTTAAAAAAGGGAATAATTTTATGCCGCTCATGTTAAGTGATTAATTGTACTATTATTTTTATATACAGCGGGCCTCATTGTCCCAACTGGTTTTACGTCATCCGTTGACTGGTATGTGTGTGGCATTTTGTTGTATGTGCAATTAAATAGTCTTAAAAAGTCGTGAATTCAGTTTGGTGAACACAACCTTGGCTATATGTGTTGTTTTAAAAAAAAAAAGAACAAATCCAAATCACATGCAATCTGGTGCAACAAATACAGCTGCTGCATTTAAATAGAAAAATATACATTCATAGAATTGATTGCCCTAGTTCTCACACTTCTTGCAGCTTTGGCGATTGGTTGGTTTTGATCTTGTAGCTGTGTTTCGCCTGGTCATTGGATCAGTGACTGTTAGGGTCAGATGTGAGGTCAAAACACTCTCTGCCTCAATCACATCACCTCTATTTCTATTGAAACCTACACCAAGACATGTGCACAAATGCACAGTCTAGTTTCTGTAAGCACTACAGAGTTTGACTGTGATACACCCCCTGTCACCAGCACTACTAGCCTGGCGGGGAACTATTGATTGGCCCTGACAGAACCAATTACATTCAGTGACAGATAGAGACATGGAGCTGTCCACAGAGAGGAGGCAACGCCAGCATGCGTGAGAGAGAAACAGAGATGGAAAATAAAAGACAGAGGAACACGGAATAAAAATACACAAATTTATCTATAAAATGCTTGAACAGATGCATTTTCTTCATCGTCAAGTATTTCCTTTAATATCTATTTTTTTCAACCTGTAACACCCCCTTGTTTGAGCCTGGACTTGGTTTGAACATTTTCAGTATTTGTGCCAATACAATACCTGAATTTCAATACTGATACCAAAATACATTTTTCAATGCCTTATTTTAGGAAATATAGACATGGTTCTCTCGCTCAAACAGTAGCAGTCATACTGGAATAATATGCAGTTTAAACATTTTACCGAAGAATAATTAAATGAGACTACTAATCTGACCAGATATTCAATTCTATAATTGTCCTTGCATGGCAGTTGTTGATATAAGGTTTTCTGTGCTACAGACATCCTTTTGTTGGTACAAAAAAAAATTATTATGGTTTGATACCTGTCCTAATTTGAGTGTTGAATGCTTTGTATAATCAGACAACGTAGGCTGTGAACAGCTCGAACTATCTGCAGAACAATCATCTCTGCCTTCATCTACATATGCTCTATATATGCTATATGCATTTTCACCAATAACTTTATGGCTAATTATGTTGTTTCTAACACCCTCTCATGTACCCATTTCAGACAAACACTTGGACTGCATAAAATCACACCTTCCTATAAATTCTGCAAACTTGCTACATGAACACAGTCAAAGATAAATTGTTTTTTCAAAATTGTATCTACTGAATGTCTAGGGTGTATGACTACCAGCGTGTGCCAGCATCCCTGTCTCCCCTGCCTCCCCTGGGACCCAGCCTGGCCAAGCGATCCCGTTCCTCCTCCTACTCCACCGGGCACAGACGCAGTCGAGACAGAACCCACTCCAAAAGCTCCAGAACCCACTCCACTAGTTCATCTACAGCCAAGTGTGAGTAATATGAATGGACTTAGTCACAAGACAGAGGTTTTATTAGAAGCTGCACATTTATGCTGTTTGTCTCTGTAAGAAAAATCGAATGCTAAATATAAAGCTAGGATCATTATATCTTTTGCCTCTCATCTCCCTCACAGCACACAATTTCTAGGTATTGAAAAGTCAACAGTTTTAACCTCTTTTCCTCTCTTGCTGCTCTGATGAGACAAACGATGCAGTAGGAAAAATTTGCTGTATTCAAACCACAGATGCATGATATGTAAATCTGAGCCTGAGTGGCAAATCAGAAATGCAAATAATTTCTGCACATGCTGCTCCAATAGTTCATAACATCAAAGATAATGCCAACAATATACTGTTTTAATATAAAATACTTAAACTAGTTTACTTTGCATGCACCTTTCTTGTTTCATAGTGGCATCTTCTTAAGTTGATGAGATCAATACCACTCTCTCATATCTCTACTCTATCATGAATGTGAAGCTACAGCCACCCACCAGCTAGCTTAGCATAAAGTTTGGAAGCAGGGGGAAATGGCTAGCCTGATTTGTCAACAGGTAAACAGGAACCACTTCTGAAGCACACTAATAATACACTAATAAACAACAAATTATGACTCAGTTGTTGAATCCATACACAAACTGAAATGTAAAAATAAGTGTTTTTTGGGGGGGGGTTATGTTATTGTTTCGGATTTCGGCAGATTGCCTAGCAACCTCACAGTGACGACAAGACCTCAGGAAGTCACTGCGCCCAGTTTACGGTGCTTGATGTTTACAGTTCAGCTTTTTTTACTGATGGAAGAAATGAAACATAATGTGATAATTACTGAGCTTTAAGGGCAATGTTAGGTGGAGCCATGCTATCTCTTTCCCAGTAAACAGTATTTATGCTAAATTAAGCTAA